GAAATTTAAGGAATTCTACAAACGTATAGAAACACAACATAATATCAGAATAAAGCAAATTATGACAGATAGGGGATGTGAGTTCATGTCTAAAGAATTCTCTCAATGGTTAAAGGATAGAGGAATGTTACATTTCACGTCCAATCCTTTTTCTGCATTTCAAAATGGAGTTGCAGAGAGGAAAAATTCCACACTACAAACCATGATTAGGTGCACATTAGAGGATGCTGGTTTAGGCAAACAATTTTGGTCAGAGGCATTACATTATTCGAATTACACTCAAAATAGAACCTGGTCCAGTATTGTGAATAAGACACCATATGAGGTGATGTACAATAGAAAACCCAAATTATCACACATGCACATATTTGGAGTCACTGCAGACGTACACATACCTAAACAATTGAGGAGAAAGGGAGAAAACGTATCCAGGAGATTAAGATTCATGGGATACGAAACTGGAACCAAAGGGTACAGATTTATTGATAGTAATAACAAATTTATAGTATCCAGAACAGCTGTGTTCCATGAACAGGCCAATTGGTCAAAATTGCACCTTAATGAAATATTTCCTAATAAATGTAAAGATACGATATCTTGTGAGGAAGGAACAACAGAAAATCAAAATATTAACAAAAGTAAGAACAAAACCAAAACTTGGACTAATAGTCAGCATAAAATAAAGACAGACACATTAACAAAAAAGGAAGCTAGATATTTGCATGATAACCATAGCAAGCCTGAAAGAACTATTAGAAACAATAGAAACCAAATACCAAATAAATACAAAGATTACATAATGCATATGAATGGAGAACAAATAACACCTAATACATATGAAGAAGTATTGAAACTTCCACATGAAGAAAGAGAAAAATGGGAACTAGCTATGGAAAAAGAGATGGAAAGTTTACAAGGATTAAATGTATTCACACCTGCGATCGCACCTAAGGATAAAACCATTATAGGTACCAGGTGGATTTATAAAATTAAGAACTTAGAAGGAGGCAATACTTTATACAAGGCTAGACTAGTTGCACAAGGCTATGCACAAAAATATCCAGAAGACTATACTGATACATATTCACCCACAGTGAGAACAGAGAGTGTCAAAACAGCCCTTGTAGTAGCATCTGCACTCAATCTGGACGTATTCCAATATGACATACAGACCGCATACTTACATGCAAAATTAGATAAGGAAATATATGTAAGAGCACCACACAGTCAATACACTAATAAGAACGAAATTTGGTTATTAAATAAGAGTCTGTACGGATTAAAGCAATCCGGCAAAAGATGGTACGATTGCTTGGTAAAAGTACTTAAGACCATGGATTTCAACGCCACCACTGCTGATAACTGTTTCTTTGTAAAAAAGAGTAATGATCATATTGAATTTGTATTAATTTACGTGGACGATATTTTATACATTGGAAAGCATAAAGAGAGCAGGGAAATCTTTGTAAATAAGTTAAATGAACACTTCTCACTGAAATCTCTGGGTAAAGTGAATAAATACCTTGGTGTGCAAATTAACAAAACTAAAAGGGGATTCAAACTTACACAGAAAGATAAAATCATCGAACTCCTAAACAAATGTAACTTAAATAATGCTAAAACCTGTGACACCCCTATGCAAACTGATTTTCTTAGAAACACTGATGAATCTTCCCCTGAGTTTAAAGACAACACATTTTACAGATCAGTTATAGGTTCACTCCTTTATATATCTAATTGGACTAGGCCAGATATTGCATTACCTCTCAATCTATTGTCAAGATATGTTAGTAAACCAACCTTGTATCATTGGGAAGCTGTCAAAAGAATTCTAAGATATCTGAAGGGTACATTAGATTTTTGTTTAATGTTGGAACCCAATAATGACAGAGAACCAAAAATTACTTGTTATGCTGATGCAGATTGGGCTGGTGATACAACATGCAGAAAGAGTACTTCCGGTTATGTTTTTCTATTGAATGATTGTCCAGTTTACTGGTATACTGGTAAACAAGAACTAGTGGCCACTTCTACTACAGAAGCGGAATATGTTTGTTTGTCCAAAGCTGCAAATAACCTTGTATGGTTCAATGATCTGATCACTGATGTTTGGAAGAAACCCACCTTACCATTTATTATGCATGAAGACAATAAAGCGGCCATTGAAATATCCAGATCCGATGCAATTGGACAAAGGTCCAGGCATATTGATATAAAGTTTAAGCATGTGAGACAACTGTCTCAAGACGGATTCATTAAAGCAATACATTGCGATACTTCTGAACAATTAGCTGACATATTAACAAAACCCTTACCTTCTAAACAACACAAATATTTAACTTCTAAATTATATGTATTATATTGTCCTGAATCAGAATGTAATTGGTGTTGTGTAACGAACCGGCATTTAGAGGGGGATTTGTCAGATGTAAATGCCTTATTCTCCAATGTGTAAATAATGTATATATGGAACATCAGAGGTTAACTTATTCTTTGGACTTTAATGTATTCATAACTTACCACTCCCATTCCTAGCTCCACCCCTTGTATATATAAGGAGCCACCCTCACCATTCTCGTTGCTTCTACCTCGAATATTCAGTGAATATAGAATGCCTATCATAATTAAAAAGAAATATATTTAAAGCTTTAACTTCTATTATCTTTATTGAGTCTGATCCTGAAAATATTGCAACAATTAATAAGATCCCAAAGGGTCTCTGATCAAGTCAATGTTTGGTTATATAAATAATAATAAGGTCTCGTTAACAAAATTACTGTACATTAGGGCGATAATGATTTCAAAATGATTTAGAAGTGTTTAGCATCTCAAGGGTAAAGTGATTCTTAAAGCAGTTGTGCCTTTTTTCTTCCATATTGAAACATGAAAAATAGAACTGCTTTGTTGAACAGAAAGATTCTGTGCTCATGTGAAGTCCAAAACAATTAGTCTGAATCATTCTTGAATGATTCCATTGTGATGAATATATATATGATCTCATTATATTCTCTTATATAGGAAGACGCCATTAGAATGCCCTTTTTCAATAAGAAGATGGAATTCGTATTATAGTATGTCTTTAATCTTGAAATGATATAATCTGAAGACTTCATTCAAGTTATTTTCAAATGAGTTCTTTTTATGTTAACAGTTTTAATAATTTCCCTTGAATTAAGTTTTAAAATATATGTGCAAACCCCTTTTAAACATACATTGCTTGAAATTTATAAAATACCTATTAAAATTTTGGTTTAAGAGATAATAACATGGATGTTATAAGTTAAACCAAATGTGCAATGTATCCTCTTTCAATTAAATTAACCTGTGTTTTTGCAAATGGCTTGGTTCATGACTTATCTGCAGTGAAGGAGAGATGGTATGTTGGAAAAATGCAGTATTTATGTTTCAGTTCATTTCAATAACCATTATAATTTTGGCTCAGCTTCAATTATTTGCAAAAACTGATTGGTTCTGCTGATAAGTAAAGTATTTAAATCATTTCTCCACAGTTAATTTAACAATTTTAGTACAAAACTGTTTGCATTTATTTAGCACTGAATGTATTGTGATTTTGAACATCAACTTTCACAAATGAAAAAGGAAGTATTTCCAAAAGAACAGTGCCAGTAAATAATTTATCAAAGCATGTATTTGGCCCATTCATTGTTTTTAAAAAGCTCATGTCAATGACACTGAATGGGAGGAAGTACTGTACATATAAGAGAATATTATATAGCAACCTTTTTAACTATAAACAGGCTGTGTGGATAACAAGAGAACCCAACTAATTGCTGGATACTTGAAAAGGAAACTTATGTGTTTCATTATTTGCTGAAAACCAAACACATTTTTGCATTCTTCGAATATTGGAAATAACAAAAAATGCTGTTTCTCATGTTTTCCAATGTTCAATGTGAATGCCAAGGTTATATTTAAATATCAGAGCCTGAACCACTCTATGGGCTGTAGAAAGAATAACTAGAAATAAGAAGTCAAATAGGCAAGGTGAGAAATTCAATAATTAATGGAAGTACCTTAAAACTTCTCATGTTTTAAAAATAATTTTTATTGTCTGCCTCCCAAGAAGAGCCTAATAAAATATATAGATTTTAATCAGAGAATGTTTTTCCTAAATTGATGCAAATGTATTGAAGATACCGTAAGAAGAGAATCAGATTAACAGGTTTTTCTGTTTATTTTAACTAATAACAGCTTCAAAGAAGGTACCCTCATAATAATCAAATATATAAATTTGCTAGCAGAATTTATATCTGCCTTCTGCCTCCAATAATGATGCTAAAAAGTTTACGGTCTGATGATGATAATAATCAGCCTTAAGTACCTGGTAAAAATCAGGTATAATGATTTTTGGTTATAGATGTTAGTATTAGATATTAACTATTAGTGTGTTTCCTAGTTTTTCTCTTTTTTTCAAGAAGCATTCATCCAGTAGTTTCATTTTTATGCCTTTTAAATTAGGAAAACAAAGGATAAGCAATTGGAATAATTTGTTTTCTACAAATGGGAACAACAAGAGCTTAATAAAAAAACATTCTGTGAAGCTTAAAATAGGAGAATGTCCTACTTCCATGACAATTAGTGCTCCATTCCTTTATGTTCTTACTACATCTGTCATCTTTTCTCATGACAATTTCAGTCTCGTAAATATAGCAAAATTAAGAACTTATAAATTATTTTTCATACCCTGGACAAAAATCAAATGAGTTGAGGAAAAATTCTCTCCTTCAAAAACTGGATTTTCTAAAGTTATTTGAGAAAATGTATACAGTATTGCCTAACAGCAATAATAAGACTTCACTGGCATATTATTGTGTGAGGCAGTTATCTCCTTTGATTGATACAACCTTCTGTCACTGCCTGTGTTTAAAACAACAGACTAGCACAGTCCTTCAGGTAATCTTTTGTTATAATATTCACCCAAAACATGTATGACATGGTTTCTAAATGAAAAGCCTTAAAGTCTTGCGCATAACATTTACCAGAAAGGTGTTTTTCCATAGTTTGTAGTTCTTTTGCAGCCAGTGAACCTTCTAATACTTTCTGACTTGAAGAGTCTCTACTTCTTGAATCCATAATGTCTAGAGTCCAGGCTGGCTGATTCTAGAATAATTAAAAACAAGGAAGAACACAATGACAATTTTGTGAACTGTGGATTCATCTAACACAGTGGTTCTCAACCTTCCTAATGCCGCGACCCTTTAATACAGTTCCTCATGTTGTGGTGACCCCCAACCAGGGGTGGGTTCTAATTTTTTTTACTACCGGTTCTGTGGGCGTGGCTTATTTTGTGGGTGTGGCTTGGAGGTCATGTGACTGGGTGGGCGTGGCTAGCTGGTCATGTGACCGGGTGGCCATGGCTATGTGTATAGGGACTACTCAGAGGGCTGAAAAAAGTCATTTCTGACAGGTCCTCACACTTTTCTGGTCCTCACACTTATGACCATCCTCACATTTATGCCTGTGCAGCATTCTTAACAACCATGTCACTCATTTCACTCGCTTCTCTTCACCAAGATAGGGCAAAAATGTAAATTGTGAGGACAGTCGTAAGTTCGAGGACTGGTCAAAAGTGCGAGGACCAGTCAAAAATAACTTTTTCAGCCCTCTGAGTAGTCCATATGCATAAAAGGATACAGCAATAGAGAGGGATGAAGGAAGGGAATGGAAATTAGAGTAGGAGTGAAGGTAAGACAGGGAGGAAGAGAGGAGGAGAAGGAAAAAGAAAGAGAAAGTAGGGAGAAGAAGAAGAGGGGGGAAGAGAAAGTAAGAAAGAAAGAAAAGACAGAGGTGGTAGGTTTGAGGAGAAAGATTGCTGTACAATAAAAAAGATGAAAGGGAAGAAAGTCAACCCCAAACAAATATTAAGATATTAAGATAAAGAATGAATTGTTAAACTTTAAAGAATAAAAGAGAACAAATAGGAATAAATAGCAATAATTAGAAACACACATACAAACATACAACGTATTTTCTTTGAACAGAGTATTTGGCCCGTTCACAAATTTAAACAGTTGTAGGAGGTTAGCACCCACCTCTTTCCTAGAAGAATGAAATATTTTGGGAAATATTAAAAAGGCAGAATATTATATTTCCCTGGATGAGAAATGGAGAAGCATATTTTACAGACAAAGCAGCTCGCACCTTCCTGCCCCCCACCCTTTGTTAATGGGTCAGAGGCAGAAAGTCAATCCTTTGTCAAAGGACATTTGCAACACAATAGCAACAGAAACTAACACAATGGGCCCCATCAAGCCATGTGATCCTGTCCACCATTAAACCATCTTTCCAAGCAGTCTCCATGTTTCCAGTGTCTTTTTCCCCACTTGGAGCAGAACCCAGAAGGATATTTCTTCCAACACAGTATTTAGTCATTTCAATTAAATTTACAATTTCTATATTTCCTTTTTACCATATTTATTCCTCACCTAATTTTTAAAAAAACCAATATTACCCTTCATTCTTATCTCTAATCTTAATCAAATTCAATTTTTCCCTTCTATTCTATATTATACCCCTTCGCATTGTCATCTATTTTTATATCCATCCTCACATTGGTTAATTATGTAATACAGTTGTTTAATACAAATTCAACATTTTAATATAAATCAATTAGTTATATAACTATCTTTTTTGTATATTAATCAATATGAACATGAATATTCCAATTATTTCCATGCAATCCAATTTCTTACAAATCCATTAATTATATTTACCAATAATAATAAACCAAATAATTTCCCCCATATATACCTCCAAACCACAATTTAACCATTTCTGCTTTCAACACAATATACAATTAATAGTATCTCAATTATTACAATTCCCTAGTTAAATAGAGCTTTTTTTCTTTTGTGTTTTAAAATCTTGAACTCTCCTCTCTCAATTTCCCATTGTTTGCACCTACCTTTTTTAGTGAGCAAAAAGAAAAAGAAATCTCTGTCCCTGCCTCATTTTGTCACGCTGCAGCAAAGACCCTTTCAGTTTCATTTTAGCTAGGGGGAAAAAAATTGCTCCAGCACTCTTTTGCAGCTTGGAAAACAAGAGCTTGCAAAGGAGCCTGCACAAAACAGCTGAGAGCAAATCAGCTGAGAGTGGGGGGGGCAAGCTAATCAATTTATGCTAATTAACCTCTGCTGAAGCTGAAAGAGGCTGTTTTTTCTATTTTTGCAGGCACCATCTTCTCATTTGTTTTCTTTTAACACTGATCTGTTGTAGGGCGGCCCTTTGAAGCCTGGCGGCAAGAATTTAAACAGTTTTTTTTCCCCTTTAGCCATCAGCTGGGACTCTGGAGGCAGCAATAGATTGGGAGTGGGCGGGGTAAGCGAACGGCGACTGGGCGATCCAACAGAGGCAGAGGGTGAGGGTGAGTGAAGGCGTGGGGGGGCGAGAGAGGGCTTTGGTGACCCCTGTGAAATGGCCGTTCGACCCCCCAAAGGGATCGCGACCCCCAGGTTGAGAACCGCTGATCTAACATATATCAACTCAAATAGCCGATTCTTTTAACCACATAATTAAGCTAGTATCAGTAGTATCAGGTAACCATCTTTAACATTTCCACAAGTTAAGGTCAATGTGTTAAGGTCAAATCCAGATATGATTTAGTTTGTGTAAACCCATTTATTTTACTGAAAGACATTCAGTTTAGGTCAATATCATATTGACCTATATATTCTCAATATGAATATAATCTACTCCTTTAGAGACAAAGAGCATTTCCAATACCACTATATAATTGCAACAACTCATGACAATAGCAATAGCAGTAATAGTTAGACTTATATATTTTATTTTATTTTTATTTATTTATTTATTGAATTTTTATTTCCACCTATTCGCCCATGGCAACTCAAAGCAGCTTACAGAATATAAAACCACATTTAAAACAATAAAACTAATAAAAAGAATCAAATTAATATAGTGTAATGTAATAAAATCACAAATGTGATATCTAAAAGTACAGTTTACTAGAAATCATCTACTGACTTTAGAAGTTATCTTTAAAATAAGAAACTTCAAGTAAATTTGGTGGGTTTTTTTTTTTTTTGCAGACAACAAAATTATAAGCATGTAATTCATGAAAACAAAGAGTTTTTTAAATATTAATTATCTATACTTTAAAATATAACTACTCTTCCAAATTTCTAAACAACATTTGATGATAAATACCAAAACATTCAAATTAAATACTATGTTACTATGCAAGACCATGGGAGAAAGCTATATAAGTTTGTCTTGGAAATGCTCCTAAATAAATATTTATCAGTCTGAGCTTCACAAATATCTTGACAGATATGAAACAAAATTGTTAAAAGATATTCTGTTTTTCATTTAAACATTTACTGATAAAAGACATGTAATCATATTTTCCTAAACCACAGCTATTATATTTTTAAAATGTAGGATAAGGAATGTTAGCCATAACTATATAATCTACTGATATCTAAACCTTGAAGTTCTACATTAGTACAGAAAAGAAACACTGCCTGCATTTAAGTATCACACCAATCAATTCTGTAAAACCTGTTAAAAGATTCTGACATATTTTCTTACTCAGGAAGAAACTGACTTTGCAAGATTTTCTTACAAAAATGATCCAATGCATAGAGTTTGTTTCCACATCTAACCTTCTATCCCCAACTTACCAAATTATCGTATGGAATAAATGAACTCCACATCCATTAATGGATGAAATCTTTAAACATATATTGCTTTAAAATATGCATGAATGTGAGCAAGAGAATGAGAGAGAGAGAGAGAGACTTGCCAAATTTATGAAAAATAGGTATTTTTTATAGCTATACAATTAACATTATGTATGAGGAGAAATTGCTATTCTTAGATTGAACCTACATGTTCAAATCAACAAGATTTATGAATATCCATCCTTCCTTCCTTCCTTCCTTCCTTCCTTCCTTCCTTCCTTCCTTCCTTGTTAAAGGTTGTATGTTCAGCAACATTGGTCCTGCTACATAAATTGGTTCTATTTCTCCCTGTTATGATATTGGAGATAGAATTTGCACACTATCCCAGGACTGAGGCAACTAGATTTATAACCATACTTGCTCTGATATACATATTTTGTGTGTGTGTGTGTGTGTATGTGCCTATGTATGTGTGTGTGTGTCTGTGTGTTCGTATTATACCAATGCACAGTTCAATTGCTATCTCCCTTGATCTGCAATATCATCAAAACTACTAACATCATTTTCTAGAGACTTGCTATACAAAGAAATATAGACGCCTGAAAATTTACAAGAACTATTTTGTAACTTTTAAACCTAACTATACACAACTGCAGATTTAACAGTCCTTTTCTAGTATCAATACAGAAACATTAATTGCATACCTAAGACCTACATTTAACTTTCATTCTTTGTTACTATAACTGTTTTCCCCAAAGCTGAATCTGCAGCATATAGAAAGAGAAAAGCAAAGAAAACTAATAGATAACAAGTCATTTAAAATTTGACTCCACAGTGATATCTAGTGGCCCAAAGGAGACTTTCATTAGATGCTGCTGTTAATATCAAAAATCAGTAATATAATAAAAACAAACCAAATTTTATTTATGGAGGTCAGTTAAGTCCCTTTCACATAACAGATGTCCATTTTGGCCAAAGATAAACATATCAATATGTCAACTATTTACATTTCTTGGGAAGTGGCCAGACAAATGAAATACTTGGCTGGGAGACAGCTGATGAAAGACTGCAATAGAAAATCTCATATATTTAATTGCATGTATTTAAAAGCTCGGTAGGTTGATGCCTGAAAACATTTATATTGACATGAAAACACAGCCTTATCACAAATGCAAGTTCTTAGCTAAGATTTAAGGTGTACTAGTATGTAATGCTATAACTGATGAAAGGCTTTGGCAGAAGTGATAAAATTTAAGACAAAATAAGTCTATTTTTTGCTGGGAAAAGAAAGTTATTTTTCAATTTTCTAATTCTTGCTTTGTTACTTGAAATTGCCAAAGTTCATGAAAAGCAATGAAAGATAAAAGGCAACCGGCAATGCTCAAGTCTTTTTGATACAATTAAAATAAATGGAAATCAACCAAAGGCTATACCTTTTAAGATAATTAGAGAAAATCCAAAGGAAAAGCTAGAATATGCAAATGTTATTGAAAAGGCTATTGTATTCCACTTTCCCACACCTTTCTCTTTCTCTTTCTCTTTCTGGTGATAGAGGAAGAGAGACACTGGTTCCAAATAATGCTAATATTCTCTTTGATGTTATTGTGACATTTATTGTGACTGTTTAAAATATATGAAAAATATTTCTTAATGGGCGTTTTCAATTTTTCCAGCAAAGGAAATGACCAAAATGTCCTTGTCAATGTTACTTTTGGAAATGGCTTTTGACCACTCTCCTAGCTGACTTTGAACTAAGGCAAGACCCCAGCTATTACAACAGTAGAAAGCTGTTACTCTAATAGATTTAAGATGTATTTGCCAGCAACTAAAGTCAGCCATATGTCAATGTTTAAAAAGCCTTTTCCAGATTCTTCAATATTTTCTTCACTTACATAACACTTTTTTTTTTTTTTACTCAGGTTACTACAAGCAAATTCTTTCTGGTATCAATGTTCCAAATTCAAAGACTTCTTTAATTAGTTCCTTATATTTTGGACAATTGGAAAAGGGCTTATAGAAATATTCTTAATAACAACCTATAGAAGGACAAAATCAACTATCACTAATATCTAATATTCTCTCCTTCTCCTCTCTCTCTCTCTCTCTCTCTCTCTCTCTCTCTCTCTCTCTCTCTCATTCTCTCTCTTTCTCTCTCTCTCTCTCTCTCTCTCATTTTAGATGTATATTATCCTCCTTTCAAATAGTCTGGACAGTGCCTACTGCACGCTCTTCTTTTTTTCCCTAGAACAAGAATTCTGTGAGGCTGCTGGACTGGAAGCTATTGATGAAATCTAAAAATTTTCCATGGGTGATGATTAGCTTACTTATTGAGCTCTTTTTCTGCAACAAATAAATTTATTAAAAGAAACAAAAGCAATAATTTTGAGGTTAAAATATGGAGGATCATAGGAACACAAAATTGTACTTGAACGTGTAAAAAATTGAACTTTAAATAGAAATGGTAGGCTAAAAGCAAATTGTTTAATACACTTCAATTCAATCAAGAAGCCCAACCTTTAATTAATACATTTTAATTTATTTTAAGGGCAGTTATGGCAGATGAAATGCCTGTTCTAATAGCATCTCTGGTGGCTTCTAATTAAGCTAGAAATACATTTTATAGATTTCTAGAAAATGTATTCCCAACACACTTGAAAGGTGCCAAAGTGAGAATGATATATATAGAGAGAGAAAGTACATGATTGGGGACAAAATGTTATACTCAGATAGAATGAGCCAATATGAATATGGAAACAGGATAAGCTACAACAGCTGTACAAGATCAACATATAAGATGCTCTTAGTTTTGCTCCCTGTCTTGGGACACCAAATTAAATCATTACTGCTTAATTTGAAAGTCAAATAATTGTTCAGAATGTAAGAAACTGGGCCCTTCTATATTACTTCTAAGCTTGATTGAATATTTTAGAATTTTTGCCCATTCAGTTTCCTACTCATGAAAAGGAATTTTCTATCTGGAGAACTTCATTAATCCTCTGGTTGAAACAATAGACTTGTCACTTTTATTGAAACAGTCCAGATCCTGTTGCTTCTTGCAAAGAAGTCTATGGAGATTCTCAGTCATCCAGGTCATGGTTATCTAAAAATAAGGATCCTCCCCAGAGCTTTGTTTAGTGTTGCAATTATTTGTAATCCTTAAATCTAAAATTAGAATTTGTTTTACAACAAATGATATCTAACTGAAATTATAAGTTCTATCCTGCATGTCAAAAGCAACCTGTCAGCACATTGTTAATATCAGTAACATATTGAGATGGTTCTTCTCAAGCTAATCAAATACAAGAAAGTGACATATAAAGGAGCCAGGTAATTTAATAATCTGAAGTAGTTCATTGGTGTGTAAGACTGAGGGAAAAGAAAACATAAGCAGGCTTTCAAGACTCTGTTATTATACCCTAACCTTTTTGCCGTCGTGTACAAAAGCCGAGGGAGCATGGAGAGGTCACCCACGTGTGCCCACACCCATAACTCATTGCGCCCCGCCCCTATGCATGCGCCCCCCTGCTTTTAGCACGTGATGGCACGGTGGGCCTGGTAGGCCCATTTTTCACTGACCCCAGAGGCTTTCTAGGAGCCTGGGGAGAGTGAAAACGGCCTTCTCCACCCCCCGGAGGCCTTCGGGAGGTCGGAAACAGCCCATTTCCCAACTTCTGGTGGGATCGGAAGGCCCAAATATCAGCTGGCCTGCGCATGCATGCACGCTGGAGCTGAGCTATGGCAACGCTCGTGTGCCCATTGATATGGCTCCATGTGCTACCTGTGGCACCCGTGCCATAGGTTCGCCATCACAGCCCTATAGCAATAAAGTAGAATTCCAATTAATTAATGCAAAGATTAATGGATCTGATTTAAATGTTGTCACTCATGGACTGGGGACAAGATGACAGCAACATTATAGGGACAAGACAGAAAAAAATGTTGGCAGATTAGATCAATTGGAAAGACTCTTCACCTTCAGTAGTGCTGATATGACCCAGAAGGCTTTCCAATGAAAAGACATTACCAAACAGAGCAGGACCAAATATTTTTGGGCAATTTTTCTTTTGATTTGGCAGACTTGGGGAGCATTAAGACAAGGAATTGGGGTGCTTCAGTTTATGGATTCTGTATGCTTCTATTCTTACCTTTATATGCTGTATATCATGAAATTTTTACCACACTTAATTTTATTTATTTATTTGTATCCCATCTTTATTATTTTTACAAATAACTCAAGGCAGCGGACATGTCCAACCCATTTTCCTCTTCCAATTTTCTTCACAATAACAACCTTGTGAGGTGGACTGGGCTGAGAGAAACTGAGTGGCCAAAAATCACCCAGTTGGCTTTCATGGCTAAGGCAGGACTTGAACTCATATTCTCTCACTTTCTAGCCTGGTGTCTTCACCATTAGACCAAATGGTTTTATCCCATTGTCCTGCTCTTCCCAAGGCCACAGTGACATCACAACTTCCAAAGAGACCAACATAACTTTTATTTTCTTATTAAAAAAATGAAACTTTAGGAAGAAGAGGGAAAAGCAGACTAGTTGTAGTTACATAAATAATTTTGCAGTTGCCAGAAAACACAGTGTATGTTGTCTTTTTGACTGCACTATAATATTGGAGAAACCAGAATGACCTTATCAATTCTGATCTCCAGAGTTTAAAAGATAATTTCACAGCTGGAATCCTTACTTGGTTGAAGCTATATCCTTTATCTCCAGATATGATTTTTTCATTGTCAAAATATAAAACTGTTATATATTATACATTATTTAAATGTTATACATTATTTAAAAAGAAAAAAAATGTTTCTTTTGATTCACAGCCCATCTTTAACTTGGCAGGCAGGCAGGCAGGCAGGCAGGCAGGCAGGCAGGAAGGAAGGAAGGAAGGAAGGAAGGAAGGAAGGAAGGAAGGAAGGAGGGAAGGAAGGAAGGAAAAGCTGTAGGCTAAAATTTAAGACACCATTTAAATTTAGTTTTAAAGGTAAATATTATCACTCCTAGATTTAATGAACAGCAGTTCTTTATTCTTCAATTGGGTTTGTTTTACCTGTATTAGACTGTATCCCATATATAATGTTAAAAATTATAAGGTTTATTGAATAAAAATAAAATATGAAAAGACAGAAATGAAGATATTAATGTGCCTTACTAACAATAATGTGAATTTGGCCTATTTTCCAAGTGTCTGATTTTTCATTTTGTTCCTATCCTGTTCAAACCGTAAACTTATATTGAAATTTTGCATCACATTGCAAAACATTATCCAAAATTAAAATGTGATTGCACTGATTCAGCTCACAAACAAGTCACTCTGTTTAAGCTTATCTCCATTGTTAAAAAGCATAGTTAATGCATTTGAGAAATGAATGTCACTATAATTTCTGGTAAGTTGGTGTCTGACACTTTCCAGGTAATATAGCTGTTTTTTTGTATTTTGTATACATGTCTATGTCTATGTGTATGTGTATATATATGCATATATACATACACACAAATATTTGGATTCAAAGAAAAAATAGTTCAGAGTTCACATATCCAAACTGGTGGCAGCTCCTTAAATTATTTACATACAATCCCAGAAAAATATTTCATTTAAGAAAATGCTGGCAGATATAATGTGCATATTCTTGTGAGCACTGAATTACTTTTTCCCTTTTGGAATCCAGATAGCTGCACAGGTAAAATATTTGTTTTTTTATAATAATAATAATAATAATAATAATAATAATAATAATAATAATAATAATATTTCTATACCGCCCTTCTCCCGAAGGACTCAGGGCGGTGTACAGCCAATTTAAAAACACAGGACACAACAATAATTAAAAATTAAAATAATTAAATAGATTTGGCCAATTTAAAACCCCAAAAATTTAAAATACCCCAATTTAAAATTATTATGTTGATAGCCCTGCCTGGCGGAACAACAGGGTCTTCAGTGCGCAGCGAAACACCCGGAGGTCGGAGATCTTACATATTTCCGGGGGCAGTTCATTCCACAGGGCTGGGGCTCCCACAGAGAAGGCCCTCCCCCTGGGTGTCGCCAGACGACATAATTTGGCTGATGGCACCCTGAGGAGACCCTCTCTGTGGGAACGGACTGGTTCCGTAATCAGTATGTATACTGATTAGTTAAAAGTTTGAATTTAATCCATAATGGGCTTGTACTATGAGCTTTAGAATAAAATATTAATTATTTAAATATTATTAAATATTAATTGAGGTCTTCCAATTTTTCTATTTACTCTTACATCTAGTTGAACTGAAACAAACTAGAATGTATTATGTAATATTCAAGACAGTACCTATAAAGTGTTCTTCTTACCAGCTCAGTTGCTTGGGATACATTCTCCAATTCATCAATACTCTCCATTGATATTTCTGTTCCAGGCTCTGATACTGTTTAAAACAGAGAAACAAGAATATCAGACTAGGAGAACAAGTAACATCAATCCAGTAATCTGTTAGTTTTTTAAAAAGTTACTATGGATAATGTCAGCTGTTAATTCATAGAAGTAGGACTTTGGGGGGGGGGGAGAGATTATTAGAGTCCTGGTGGTGCAGTGGTTATAATGTAGTATTGCAGGCAAACTCTGCCCACAGCCTGAAGTTCAATCCTGTGGGGGCTCAAGGTTGACTCTCTTTTCATCTTCTGAGGTTGGTAAAATGAGGACCCAGATTGTTGGGAGAAATATGATTCCACTGTAAACCATCCGAGAGTGCTGTAAAACACTATGGGCCAATAAATAAGTCTAAGTACTATTGTTATAGCTATTATGTGGAGTGCTGTTTTTGCTTTAACCAAAGAAAAACAAGATTCCAACTGAGACAAATCCAACTCAACTTCAGCTTTCAAATTGAAAATGGAAGATGACTTCATTGTGTAAAAAAGAACTAGGGAAGTCATAACCTTTTTTAAATAAAATCCATTTATTTGAAATTAAAACTCATATTGTCATCCTTGCCAGTTTTATCCACTCTACATGATTTGCATTTTCCGTTTATTCTCAGTGCTTAGAATTTAATTATTTCCAAGCATTGATTCATAACATTTTTCTTGAACTCCTGAGGTAAAAGAGGGATACAAAGGTAACAACTAAATAAATGAAGCAATCCAAAAATTACCAACAGATTCTGGTCCTTCTTGCTCAAATGTATGACAGACAACAGACGGATCCTCTGCACTTTCTGTCAAAGTATCTCCTTGCAATCTAGATGATTAAAAACAGAAACATGATGCTGCTATTAGAAAGACTTTCTATATGCAAATATCATGCAAGTTTGGGTTTAATGATGCCTTTATCTATTCCCGATTCTACAGGTCTTTTGTACATTGAGCCATTTAATTGGCTTTTTCAGGTTCCAGAGAAAATGCTATGTAATTGTGGAGCATACAGTACATCACTAGCAAACTCATGAAATCAAAGTGCCCTACACTTCGTTATTATTCCCTTGTGTACCTTTGAATTTCTCTTAGGATAAACCTGCCTGCGAAGTGACCTTTTAGGGGGAAAAAATATTCTTGCTCTTTATAAAAATTAAACTCAGGAAGGGAAGAATAAGGAGAAAAGGGATAAGAGCTAGCTGCTATTTTTAGCATGCCTCATTGGCCAGGTCAAACAAATGCATCTGAAATTGTGTACATATTCATGAAATGTGTCATTAAAGCAGATGGACATATTCCACAGAGTTCATGACTACTTTAATGCTCCAAGGAATTATACTCCTTTTAAACTTTTCCTTCACTCTAGCACCCAAACCCACTGTCTCCATTATTCCTGCTTGAACTTTAGGCTTTCTCACATCAACACTTCATATCAGAAATTCTAAGGGAGAAGATCCAATGCCTGCCTAGAATCCCCATCCCCTTTTGGGCTGTCTGACTCTTTGGGACTATATAAAGCATAACATCTGTTTTACAGTTTTTTTTTCCTCTGCCCCTTCCTTTTTCCTCAAAAGAACAAAAGTCAAACATTTCTATCAATGTGTCTGTCAAGCCCAACATCAGCTCGACACGTTTGTCAGCGGAAGAGGCATCTAAGGCCGGCTGGCGAATCCACAGAAAGGCAGTGGGGATTGTTGTTAGACATTCGGGTTAGGAGTAGTGACAGGTTCGATGGGTTCTGGTGGTGGTGATTGCTAATACTTGTGCATAGGCTGTGTGTCAGGGTTGCCTGTACAAAACCGTCATCTGCAACGCCGTCTGCAACTCTCAAAATGCGGAAGTACTATCGGCTCGGAAAGGAGGAAATGAGGAGCAGCTGTGAAAGGTAAATGTATGTGGGTGGGGCGTGGGCATGGGCGTGGTCAGTGCGCTGCTTTAAAAAGCGCTGACGAAACCTAACATTCAGCGCTGACTTTGTTACATCCGTACGTAGCTTTTCCTTGATACCCGACCGTTGCGGATTAAAGATTGTTTGGCTAAACTCTGTTTTTCCATTTGGTGATTCATCTGAAGAGCCGCTCAGCCGCAGATCAGAAGAGCCAACAGTGTCATTGGACACATGACTATCCAACTCTACACAAAAGTTGACCCCTCTAATTTTTATAGCCAATAAACATAATAATTAAGCTTAAGATCAAAAAAATTTTACACTGATCTTAACATAAATCATAAACTTCCTTGAACAATTTTAAAACATTTCATAAAACTGAAGGTTAGTTGTATCTCAGAAATCATGCAGACTCGTAGTGCACTACTTGCACTACAAAACAAAATATTCAGAAAGAAAAGTGAATGTTTTACTTTTGAAAAATCCAGCTTTTTGCCATTCTGATTCATCATTAGGTCTAATTTCATTAAAATTTGATTCTAGTAATTTTCTCTTTTTTCAAATCTGATTTCAATCATACATCAAACCTTGTAACATTTTAGAATTGACAACTTTTGGGTCTCTTAATCTTGAAAAGTCAGAGTTACATGTTCAATAAAATTCTCCCTTACATAGGTTATTATATGCATTTTAAAATTTTATATATGCCAATCTCTAATGTGCAGAATCAGCTTTAGGCTACAGCCTATGGTGCCAAAGCTTGATGACTCTCCTTCTGACAACAAAGGCCATAATAAAAGTGGTTCATTTTCAAATTTACAGCACTAACACATAAAATATAAACATTTTTTTATTCATAAAATGTTAAATCAGTAATCCTAATAATACAAAACTTCAAATCAGCAGAAAGTGTCATCAATCAATAGGGCCTGGGACACCCTATATCTTGAGCCCAGCCACCACTGATGTGCAATTTAAGGTACAATTTCTCTGATAATTAAAAGTACCATTTATCTGTAGAAAAATAAGAAACATTAAAATTATGAATGTATATCATGAGATTTATAATATGTATTCATAACACTGCGGTTGTTGTTAGTAACATGGTTGCTAAGTGAATCTGGCTTCCCCCTTGACTTTGCTGGGGAGAAGGTCGCAAAAGGTACATGATCCCAGGACACTGCAGCTGTTATAAATATGAGTCAGTTGCCCAGCATATGAATTTTGATCACATAAACCATGAGGATGCCACAATGGTTGTAAGTGTGAAAAATGGTCATAAGTCACTTTTTTCAATGCCGTTGTAACTTCAAACTGTCACTCAATAAACTGTTGTAAGTTGAGGACTACCTGAAAACTGAAAACTTGATATATGTGTTATAGACTACTATAGACTACTGAGTTTACTTATGCCCTTCACAAGATAATCAAGATTTCTCTTGTATTCTTGAGGTTTTTTTCCCCCAATGGTGAAATTGATGCCATTAAACAAGAAGCTATTTTTGAAGCTATTTTTTTGATAGAAAAAAACAACAACATATAAAATATTGCTGTCAAATTATACGCTCAGGTTTTGTAGAAGCATTAAATAATTATAACTCTTTTCACAATATTGTTTATCATAAGAAAATATATACCCAAGTTATAGGGTTTGGATAACAACTTATGTAAATACACAATAGTTGTTGTTGTTGTTGTTAGGGTATGTCATTGTTATATTAGCCAGGAGACCACAATGCTACTGCAGAGTAGTAGTTTGGCTGCCAGTTTTACCAGTTCTGTTGTGGGACATGCTTATGCATGTCCCAGGATGTGCCACAGAAAGAAAAACCAGTGGCTCTTCTTGCCGTGTCAGCCAAGGAAATTTCGTGTCATGGTAGTAACGTGATAAATAAATTCCTTATCATTAAGCTGCTTGAATCAGCCTGGCCTATTTGAACTTGGTTTACATCTCTTGGAAGGTATGTAGGGTCAAGGGATGGAGGCACTGCTTTTTTGGTAGCCATGCTGGCCCTTTCATATGACTTTGCATTGGAAGTTAGACAAGCCCTTACTTGAATCGTCTTCCAGTAGCAATTGAAGTCAGAGCTCTTCCAACGGGTGGGTGTTTGGAGCTTTATGCTTGTTTTTTGCTTGGCTTGGCTGGGTTGTTTTTCGGATTTGGGGTTTGTGTGTTTTACTGTATTGCATCCTGGGTGATGTAATGTTTGTATTATTGTGAAATTGCAAAGAGTACATCAAGGTCAAATGTGATAAGAGTGCCAGTTTGGTGTAATGGTGAAGAAACCGATCTGGCAGATCTATCTATTGAAAGGTTACTATTTAAAATCTCAGTAATTTTTTTTTTTTACAGAAAAAAAAGACAAACTGGATTTTTAGATTTACCTCTGAAATATAATTTGTCAAAACAGATAGAAAACATTCTTGTAAATTTGTCTTCTAAAAGTTTAAAACAAAACCCGCAAGGAGATAGATATATAATATACATTATAAAAGTGATGGACAGTTATTTTTCTTTTCCCTTACACTGAAAGCAATTCTTTATGACAATCTCTAGAACGTTTTAAAACTGGGAATGTTTTGATTATCACATTAACATTTTAATGTGTTATTTTTGGATTTATTCAGTGGGAAAATGTGGTCAACTAGGGAAATTCCATCTCCCATGAGATTTTGATTAAGCTGCAACATAAATCTTCTCTCCTATTTCTCCAAGATAAAGCTCAGATTTTTAGACATTTCTTTCACAAGAGAAATTCACAGGGTGTTCACCATGAAACTGGTTGAGCAGCATTGGATTCAAAATTAATGTTTTTAGTTCACTATACACATTTGCTATTTAGCCACAATTTAAGCAAAAGTACTGAGATTAAAAAGACTTAAATGCATGTAAACAAATAGTTTATACTACACAATTACTTTATCTTTTACTTGCCCTAACCAAATGTTTGAGAAAAATGTTCACTAAATTCAAAGATACCAAACAGACCAAGAAAGCTAGTCCTGTGCTTATTTATACAGACAAATGCCCTTCTGAATTTATTGGGACCTATAAGAGAAGTGATTTCTACTTTGTGCTTCATAATTCACACTCAAAAATGCTTCCACTTTTTATGAGATTTTTTTCCCCAAATCCAATAATGGTTGATGTGATATTTAATATTATGAAGGCAAATATAAATGACATCAAGGGAAGAGGCAATTAAAGCTATATTACAAACATTTCAAAGGAAAAAATACTGTTATCACAAAAATTATGGAATTGGGTATATCATATTTCTATAATATGTTTTAGTAATAATGTTCTGTATTTCTCTATAGACCAAATATTTCTAGAGCTAATCAGCATGCAATGCTTATAAACTGTCTGTCAACCATTCTCTTTTATATATTTAATCTATTGAAAATATGAAACAGAAACATCTTCTGGCAATAGAAATCATTTCTTTGAAACCCAATATTGCCCAGAGACCCAACTGCAGGGGTTGGATCATTAGAGAGCTGAGAAAACTGTATTGAACCATTGCTCTCTTACAGTCCAGAGTTATCATGACCAGTAAGAACTAGTGCTAGCGTGAGTCTGCTTTGACAACCATTTCCAGAAACAGCATCCACTTCTTCCTACCTTCAAACTATTTGTCTTAGAAATTAGGCAACAGAGGAACATGAAAAAAGATTTACAGAGAAAATTTGTAAGTATCTTGCACATCACTTCATGTAATTCATATCTAAATGTATGTTAAACTTTGCTACTTGCCTAATATGTTAATAGATAGAAGTACTTTTTCCCAAAGAAGTAAATATGCACAAATTTAACACTGATTATAAATCTGAGGTCATATATTAGTGTTGGCGAAACTTTTCGGCACCAAGTGCCAAAACGGGAGGGTGCACATGCACGCGCATACATGGGTGCCAGAAACCAGAAGAGCAGCTGCCCGGTGCGCATGCACACACCAGGAAGATGATCTTCTGGTTTCTGGTGCGTGCATGCGCACCAGTCAGGTGGTCTTCGTGGGCACATGCATGCCAGAAACCGGAAGACTAGGTGGCTGCTGCACATATGTGTTCCGGAAACTAGAAGATCATCTTCCCGGCATGCACATGCATATCAGATGGCTGCTCTTCCAGTTTCTGGCGCTCCCAACTATGTGAAGACCAGCTGGCCGCCAGGCCGGAACCTGGAAGAACAACAGGCGACAGCTCACGTGCCCAGAGAGATGGCTCTGCATGCCACTTCCAGCACGCATGCCATACGTTAGCCAAATGGTAATATATCTTACAGTACCTCTAAGTTCACTGGTATTGTTGATTATATTTTTTCAAACACAACTAGAATAGTCTTTCTGTTGTCACTAATTGGAAGTGATGATTTAGCATTGTTTGTGAAATGCAAATGATATAGGAGAGAACCAAGTTGTCAAAGAAGTGTACACTAATCTCTTTAACGATTACTGTGTAATATTTGTATCACATAAAATGCAAATTGGCAGGAAATAACAAGAAGATGGTAAAGACTACTTACCATTAATGTTTTTACTCATTTCCACCATTTACCAACAGAGTTGGCTAATACTGCAGCTGAAAAGCCCTGCTCGAAAATGAAGTTTTGACAAAGAAATCAAAGGATGTGTAATGTTACCTTTTCAGTTGATTTCGCTGCTTCAAATTTTGGCTGTCACACTACATATGGAAAAAATAAGTTCCAGCTGCCCAAGCCAGAAAAGCTTCATTCTGATTTGATCTTTCCAAAGATTTAGGATTATGCAGTATTTATAAGGCAACTTCATGAACTCCCAGAAGATATTTAAGCAACCAAATCTTCATTTACACAGGTGTATTTCTGAGCCTGCATATACTTTAAATCATCCTCAAAGAGCCATGGAATGCAAGTTAATCAAAGTTAAAGGCAGAAAAATTAAAATAATCCCAGTTTATGATGTAAGATTGCCTTGTAATAATTTGGCATGCTTTTACTGTGAATGTTGTAAAGTGTAAAAACAAGGCCACCAATTCTATCTCCATCTTAAATGAGGTAGTCCTCATTTAGCAACCACAACTAACAATTCAGAGGTTAAGCAAAGTGGTTGCTAAGTGACGTTGCTCACGATTTTACGCAGGACAAAGCATACCGTGTGACCGCAATGACAAACAACTAACTGAGAGAGAGAGATGCTGTAAAGGTTGTAAATGCGGGTTGCAAAACTACTTTTGCAAAACTACCATAGTGACTGCAAACGGTTGCTGTCAAGACAGTCACTAAGTGAGGACTACCAATGCATTCAACAGCAATAGTAGGAAAACAGTAGCAATAGTAGGGAAAGTAAAATACATCGTTCCAAATGACTTCATCCCATTCAGATTAAAGCTCTTCCTTCTAACCTTTTGTATCCTCAGATCCAAAGAAAGTCTCAAATAAGAAACACACTGCCACATTTTAGATGAAAAACAATGCAAATCTGAAATAAAAGTTAAAATGGATAGTTTCTGTACCTGTGTGAGGTGAGCGGCATATAAATTTAATAAATAAGAAAAATAGTTCAGATAAAAGTGAATCTTTCTCTTTTCCAGACCCAACAGGTGGTGCTGTAAATTCCACTAAAGGCCTATCTAATATTTACCTGGCACATCTTGCACAGATGTTCAGGGTGACTTTGGCTTGTGGTTCAGCTGTATGTGAATTTCGAGTTTGGTTAAATTTGCTTCCAGTAGAAACCACACTGGTTACCCCTTCCATTCTTAAATCATCAAGATCTTCTGTAAAGGAAATGATCTTTTTAAATAAAAGTACAGTTAAATAATATAATGTAATATATTCATTATAAAAATCCTTATAGAAATTTTCATGGTAAAACAAATGTGGAATCTGGACAAAAGAGAGAAGGGAAACAATTGCTGTTGGGTGCTGCTGTCTGTTTTCTGAGCGCCGCAGATCACACACTATGCAGCCAAGTGACACTGGTTGCCCACTGAGTGTGATCAGACAGTTGCTTCCATTGACCTTGGTGAACAAGGAAGAATGTAAGAAAGCCAGATTCCTTTGAGCAAGCAAACAGTGTAGTTTGGCAGGGAGGAGCATTTGAAGATCCTTCACTTAGGTTACCTTCCCATTCTTTTTAGGATTGCAAAGGTAATGTGGGATCAGGACTAAAGACAACCAAGGAATTCCCATCCTTCAACTAGCCCAGATTGGTGTGTGTGTGTGTGTGTGTGTGTGTGTGTGTGTGTGTGTGTGTAGACAAAATAAACATCAAGATCAATTGAGATAATAAACTTCCAAAGTTCCAATCTATATTTTAACCACTTGAGATTAAACAACAAGCAACAAGAGATTGATTTTTGAGTCTTGGGACAAAAAACTACTAGAAACTTTTCAAAAAGTAAAAAAACCCAGGTTTTTTTCTGCTTATAGAATGATAAATAGAATGTGAATAATATCAAAATAGTAATTCCTGCTGTGATTCTCTTTAATTGGATAAAAAGAACTCTGCATATACTCAAATGAAATTCACAATTACAGCAAATAATCAGAGATGCATAGGCTAATAAGAAATTCCATTTAAGTATTTGGAGGCTGATGCTTGATTAAGAAATTAGCAGTTTGATCAGCTCTCTTAAAATAGGCTTTGGTAATATGTCTTTATGAATTTTTTATGAGTTTCAATTTAAAATGCTCTATACATTTTTATATTCTTACAATGTAGGCTCAGATTTAAAACATAAAATTCTACACTCTTTCCTTTCCTTTGCCAATTCTTCAAAACATAGAATAAGAGACTATTTCTGATATAGAAGCGTTATTTGGAGAATATATTATCTTCACTCAGCAAATCTTGGGATAGCAATCTCAAACATATTCCAGTAAGATTTAATTTTCATGAGAAAAGTCTAAACTGCATCACATCTTTCAACAAAAGATTATAGGAGGCAAAAAACACTTAAAAATACAGTATATTTTTAGAAACACAAAGACTACTATCATGTCAGGTTATAAAATCTTTTCTCTGAATTATTCTGCTTTTGAAAACCAATATACAGTTGATAGGCTTAAGTCTGCAGCGTATTGCTCAAAATATTTTTCTTCAAAACATTTCCTTCATAACATATATCCATATGTAATATACTTTAAGAAATTGTTGCCGATGCACTCAAACTCTAAATTACTGAATTCATTTCTTTCATTGTATTTTTTTAAAATATCTCTAAGTAAACTGGAAATATTTACAGTGTAAATCAAATTTGCCATCATAAATTTTTTTATGTCCTCATAATTTAAATAAAGTGGTTCATGTAGAGTCAGGCTTTGCCAATTTGCCACGTAATCTGCTGGAAATATATATAATTTTCTACTTAAAATGTTAAAATATGGCAAATCAATTATGATTTGTAAATATAATGGCGCCCCATTTAGATCAATTCTAAAAGGCTTTAATATTTTCAACTGAAAGATTAATAATTCATATCACAGTCCAACTCACCACACAGAATTGTTGTTGTGGGGAAAATAGGAGAGGAAGGTATGTTGGATATGTTCGCTACCTTGAGTTATTTATAAAAATAATAAAGGCAGGAAATAAATACAGTAAAATACATAAAATAAAATAAAATGACTGGAGACTGACTAAAAGGAACGCGACAATATTTTTGTATGAAAACCAAATGCTAGATTATATGGACATGTTTTTTTATAATAATTTTATTCATTTATAATACAAGGAAAATACATACAAAGAAAATGCAAAAGTAAATAATAGGAAAAATAGGGAAGGAAAAAGGGAAGAGAAAAGTGGAGGAAAGAAAAGGGGTAAAAGAAAGAAAAGACATTGACTTCTGACTCCTTTGGTGCTGTAGAAAAAGATATTAACATCAAACCTTTTACTTTTACATAATAGTTTAAACTAGCCATTTCTATAACAACAAATCTATCTAATTGGTAAAATCCAAAATCAAAGTTTCATTTTTTTCCCACCTCAAGCACAAAGTCTGGAAGCAGTTTACAAGTAGAAATAAAAATATTTGTATTTTTTTCTTTGATCAAAGCAGTCAATTTAGCCATTTCTGCTAACTTCATCAAGCTTTGCAGCCATTTGTCCGTTGTGGGGTTTGAGCTGACCTTCCATTTCTGTGCATAGAGTAGTCTTGCTCCCGTCAACATGTATAACATCAAATTTATATGGACATGTTTTAAGAGAGAATTTTCATTGCTAAGCAAGCTGGTTGTTAAGTGAGTTAGGCCCCATGACTGAGGGGATATTGTAACAGTTGTAAGTGTGAGGACCAATAATAGGTCACTTTCTTCAGTGTTGTTGTAACTTTGAATGATTGCTAGTGAATGGTTATAAATCAAGGACTACCTGAATCTTGAACAGCCTTTAAGGGTCCAGATTCAAAACAATTTTATAATGAACCCAGAGCTTATTATCAAGAAAAAATAGTTCTAAACCTATTGGTGGATGTGCAAGAATAATTCAGAATCTACTTTAAAATTCTGACTATTAAACTATAAATTAACATACTGAACATTCTAAGTATTGCAAAGTCCCATGGAAGCATAAAGAGTGGCAACTCTCACTTTGACTATTTCACAAATCTGGAACCTAAATTTTAATTTAATGTCAATATTTTATACTTTTTCCCCTCATCAAAGATAGAAAAAATACGTAAGTGATACTGAAGAAATTTACCTAGTGCAAAAGATAAATTAACTGGAAATATGCAAATGAATACCAGAGTTGATGGGAGTTGGCCAGTATATAATGTAATAAATATAAAAGACAAAAATACAAACAAATATGTCAACATAGTTGTGGATGTTTCCAAGTAATTAATAAAACATAATTTAGAAACCAGGATGAGTTTTGCTATATTATCAGATACAGAATTCAAATACAATAGAAGAATCAAGATTAAAATGTTACGGGAATCTATTTGGAGTCCAGGGGTGCTATTCAGCAGGTTCTGACAGGTTCTGGAGAACCGGTAGCGGAATTTTTGAGTAGTTCAGAGAACTGGCAAATACCACCTCTGGCTGGCCCTAGAGTGGGGTGTAAATGGAGATTTTGCAGTATCCTTCCCCTGCCATGCCCACCAAGCCACACCCACAGAACTGGTAGTAAAAAAAAATTGAATTCCACTACTAATTTGGACCTACAACAAAGAGCTATTTCTTAATATCAAGCAGTGTCTACATAATCTTTTTTTATGCTTTCACCAATTATCTTAATAAAATCTGCAACTAAAAACATTTATCATTTGTGAGTTTTTTCACTGTTATTTGGTTTTAATGGAATGAAAATTCTTGTCTTGGTATCTTTCAACACATTTCATTTCAATTATTAAATCATTTTGAATTCCTATAGGGTTTTTTAGTGCAGTCAACTTTTCTTTTAAGAAAAAAACACTTTTTAATATGTCAATTGCAATCAATTATACATAATTAGTTATATTAATCTCTGGTAAAATATGAAATAATCCACTCTGGTTATTTTCTGAATTGGAAAGTATTTTTTTAATAAAATTGAATTCATCTTTGTATCCACAGACTATAAGTCAGTTTTTATCTCCTGCATACAAACATTTTATATGAAAGCTTTTTACATTTTCTTTTTGATACTATCTGAATACATAAGAAAACACATTAGTGCCCTCAAGTGGCAACAACTAGACAGAAATAGTATTTCTGTATCAAAGACATTGTTATGCTAACATTGGGAGGGAGGAAGGGAGGGAGGAAGGAAGGAAGGAAGGAAGGAAGGAAGGAAGGAAGGAAGGAAGGAAGGAAGGAAGGCAGGCAATGTGTGAGAGAGGAAAACTGGTAGTAAATTTAATGTCAATCAGTTTTACTATATCAAAAACTTCTTATCCATGTGTCACGGAAAAAAATTCTGAAGACAGAGATTTTATAAGTACATGCTGTTGAGGAAAGTGGTGAAAATAGAATTGTTGTGAGGTCAGGTCAAAGAGAAGCAAAATAGCTTACAAAGTGATCGTAAATAAAGTAATGGTATGTGTTCTTATCAGTCTGATGCAGCAAAATCAATAAAGAATTCTGTAGTCCACAATGCTTAGCAACTTTCTTATCTCACAAGATTTATAGTACTTAGATAGCTTAAATTTATCTCATGGTCTGAAAGCAAAGGAAATGGGAATGAGGAAAAATGGTTACTTTAGAGATGATCAAACACGAAACAATTGTAATACTTGACAAGAAGCTCTCAGCCTTAAATAACTAAAGACTGTAATATTTCAGAGTATCTTAGTCTACATCTGAATCATGAAAAATGTACTGAACCTTCTGATTAATTTCTTTTCTTCCATTTCAATATTCAGTCAATTATTTTAATTCCTCTTCTCAAGTATTTGTTCTTTTAGTGACTGTCTTTAAAAAATCATCTACTGCTTTCAGGAAAATAATAATAACCTTTATTGTCACTGCACAACATATGTACAATGAGATTGGTGGAGCTCCCTCAGTGTACCCCCCCAACACAATACAACTCACAGTGAAGAAAAGAAAATCCCTAAGCCTATAAGTCATATTAACAAATAATGGATACAGCCATTTCCAATGTCATATTGTGTTATTTTGTATTTTTGCCAATATATCTAATGTAAAGTATAATGCAACAATGCTGATTGAAGATGGCATACTTTATATTGGAGGAGAAACAAAATTGTAGTCCCCTAATATTGTTGAGAATATGGGGGCAGAACTGCTTTCTGTATTTGTGTCATGCCTGCACAATCTGTTATCAATA